TAAATGCAGGTTATACATATATATGTACTAGAATTTTAATGAAAGTGGCATCCCGAGACAGCAAGAATGCAAGATGAAATAAACCAAGTCTTTCAGTGGGCTAATGACAATGTGATGTTCAATGAGGACAAATTTCAGTTGCTACAAGATCAGAGTACAAGACAAATTCAAACCATTCAACTGAATACAACTCAAAAGCATGAGACTTGGGAGTTATTATGTCAAAATCTCACATTCAAGGAGTAAAACAATGTTATCACAACTGGAAGAAAAAGTGATAGGTTGGATAACTAAAACCTTCAAAACAAGAGATGCCAAGCCAATGATGATACTTTTCAGGTCATTTTTCCTCTATAGGCTTGAGTTCGGCTGTGTACTAATGACCCCCTACAAAGCAGACAAAACTAGAGGTGGTAAATATACAGAAAATCTTCACAGGTCATAAACTCACTCAAGTACCTAAATTATTGCAAGCATTGGGAGTCCCTAGAACTGTACTTCTCAGAACATAGGAGAGCAAGATACATCACAATCTAGACCTGGAAGAAACTAAGGGATTGGTCATAAACCTGCACATTGAAAATACTTCTTATGAATGCAAGAGGCTTGGCAGACAATGTAGGTTACCTTTAATGGAAAATAGGGAACTAATGAGCACACAGAATTGTGTTGAAAGGTTGAGGTCCCTCTGGGACCTCAACCTTTCAACACCCTCCCTTCCTGCATACCTTACCTTTCTACCTAAGGGAGATTACAAACTCCTTGCCATCTTCATGAGGGAACTCAACAGATTTCTCAAAGATTGTAATAAAGTTGGTAGAATTACCGACAATATGTAAAGTAAAAGGACACAAGTGCAACTAATGTGACATTTTATTGTGGCAACGTTTTGCTCTCCAGGAACTTTATCAAGCCATTACAAACATTACATGGACACAGAGGGTATATAAAGGCTCAGAGTGAGGTGCAGTACTAGTGAGGTACCATTTAGATGTTCACTAGTGGTAGTAGTAGTAGTAGTGACAAAAGTAGTAGTAGTAATACAATATGGTAGAGCAATTAATTCGTACATGAGTAAAAGGATATAAAAGCTATTACAGTGGACCCCCGCATACCGATTTTAATCCATGCAAGAGGGGTAATTGTTATATGAAATAATCGGTATGTGAATGAATTTTCCCCATAAGAAATAATGGAAATAAAATTAATCCGTGCAAGACACCCAAAAGTATGAAAAAAAAAATTTTTTACCACATGAAATGTTAATTTTAATACACACAAACTGAAAAAGGCATGCACACTTACATGACACTTACTTTTATTGAAGATCTGGTGATGATTGATGGGATGGGAGGAGGGGAGAGAGAGTGTTAGTGTTTAAAAGGGGAATCCCCTCCCATTAAGACTTGAGGTGTCGAGTCCTTTTCTGGGGTTACTTCCCTTCTTCTTTTAATGCCACTAGGACCAGCTTCAGAGTCACTGGACTTCTTTCGCAAAACATATCTGTCCATAGTGGCCTGTACCTCTCGTTCCTTTATGACTTCCCTAAAGTGTTTCACAACATTGTCAGTGTACAGGTTGCCAACACGGCTTGCAATAGCTGTGTGAGGGTGATTTTCATCAAAAAAGGTTTGCACTTCAAGCCACTTTGCACACATTTCCTTAATCTTTGTAGTAGGCAACTTCTTCAATTTCTCTCTCCCCTCCTCTGAACCAGTTTCCTCAGGTCTGGCCTCTTGCTCTTGAAGTTGATCTATCAGCTCATCAGTGGTTAGTTCTTCATTGTCCTCCTCCACCAACTCTTCCACATCCTCCCCACTAACCTCCACCCCAAGGACTTTCCCAATGCCACAATGGATTCCTCAACTGGCATAATCCTCTCAGGGTTAGCCTCAAACCCTTCAAAATCCCTTTTGTCTACACATTCTGGCCACAGTTTTCTTCCAAGCAGAGTTCAAGGTCTTCTATAGTCACTCCCTCCCAAGCCTTACCTATAAGGTTTACACAATTGAGGATATTAAAGTGCTCTCTCCAAAACTCTCTTAGAGTCAGTTGAGTTTCTGAGGTCACTACAAAGCACCTTTCAAACAGAGCTTTTGTGTACAGTTTTTTGAAGTTTGCAATAACCTGCTGTCCATGGGCTGCAGGAGAGGAGTGGTATTAGGAGGCAAAAACTTCACCTTAATGAAGCTCATGTCCCCATAAAGTCGCTCTGCCACGTCTGTAGGATGACCAGGGGCATTGTCTAACACCAGGAGGCACTTAAGTTCTAATTTCTTTTCAGTTAGGTAATCTTTCACATTGGGGGCAAATGCATGGTGTAACCAGTTATAGAAAAAGTCCCTAGTGACCCATGCCTTACTGTTTGCCCTCCACAAGCACACACAAATTATCCTTGAGGACATTCTTTTGCCTGAACGCTCTGGGAGTTTCAGAGTGATACACTAATAAAGGCTTAACTTTGCAATCACCACTAGCATTGGAACACATCAACAAAGTAAGCCTGTCTTTCATAGGCTTATGTCCTGGGAGTGCCTTTTCCTCCTGAGTAATGTAGGTCCTGCTTGGCATTTTCTTCCAAAACAGGCCTGTTTCATCACAATTAAACACTTGTTCAGGTTTCAGTCCTTCACTGTCTATGTACTCCTTGAATTCCTGCACATATTTTTCAGCCGCTTTGTGGTCCGAACTGGCAGCCTCACCATGCCTTATCACACTATGTATGCTACTACGCTTCTTAAATCTCTCAAACCAACCTTTGCTGGCCTTAAATTCACTCACATCAGCACTAGTTGCAGGCATTTTTTTAATTAAATCCTGATGCAACTTCCTAGCCTTTTCGCTTATGATCGCTTGAGAGATGCTATCTCCTGCTAGCTGTTTTTCATTTATCCACACCAATAAGAGTCTCTCAACATCTTCCATCACTTGCGATCTTTGTTTCGAAAACACAGTTAAACCTTTGGCAAGAACAGCTTCCTTGATTGCCTTTCTGGTGCCCACAATAGTAGCGATGGTTGATTGGGGTTTCTTGTACAACCTGACCAGGTCGGCGATACGCACTCCACTTTCATACTTATCAATGATCTCTTTCTTCATTTCTATTGGAATTCTCACCCTTATTGGTGTACGGTTGGCACTAGAAGCTTTCTTGGGGCCCATGGTCACTTATTTTCCAGAAACGGCACCGAAAACACTGTAATAATACGAAATATTCCGATTGTATGCTTGGATGTTACCGCGGAGGCTGGCTGGTAAACAATGGCACGGGCGGCACATGTGAGGCTGGCTGAGGGCACACATTGGACGCGTCTCGGACGAAAATCGGTGAGCGGGTTTTTAAGCGGTATGCGCGGCAAAATTTTTGCGATTAAAGCAAGCGGTATGCGGATTAATCGCTATGTGGTGCCATCGGTATGCGGGGGTCCACTGTACTTGGGTAACATAAAAATAGGTTGGACAAATATAGACTGGAAAGAGGCAGCCTGTTTCAGTGTTCACTCTCTGTAATGTGCTTTGTGTAGTATAACAGGAGACACTATGTGATGGCAGGGTTTACTGTTTTCAGGAGAATTCTTGCTAAGACTTCAGAGATGGTGAAGCTGCCGTTGTTTTGTTTAATTGTATTCGAAACGGCGATCAGTGCTGATTCGAGGCACTTGCGTCTGCGGAAATTAGTTTCTTTAATCACTAATTGGGCGCCTGTGTACAACATCGAAATTCTACCAATCATCTCATGAAATTCAGAGACGCCCAATTAGTGATTAAAGAAACTAATTTCCGCAGACACAAGTGCCTCGAATCAGCACTGATCGCTGTTTCAAATACAATTAAACAAAACAACGGCAGCTTCACCATCTCTGAAGTCTTAGCAAGAATCCTCCTGAAAACAGTAAACCCTGCCATCACATAGTCTCTCCTGTTATACTACACAAAGCACATTACAGAGAGTGAACACTGAAACAGGCTGCCTCTTTCCAGTCTATATTTGTCCAACCTATTTTTATGTTACCCAAGTAATAGCTTTTATATCCTTTTACTCATGTACGAATTAATTGCTCTACCATATTGTATTACTACTACTACTTTTGTCACTACTACTACTACTACCACTAGTGAACATCTAAATGGTACCTCACTAGTACTGCACCTCACTCTAAGCCTTTATATACCCTCTGTGTCCATGTATTGTTTGTAATGGCTTGATAAAGCTCCTGGAGAGCGAAACGTTGCCACAATAAAATGTCACATTAGTTGCACTTGTGTCCTTTTACTTTACAGATTTCTCAAAACAGTTCCTGATCAGCTGGGCTGTGGTGCATACATTGAATGTGGGAAGCAGGCACTAACAGCTTGATCAATCAGGCCAGCAACCAGGAGGTCTGGTCTGGGACTGGGCCACCAGGGCAGTGACCTCCAGAAGTGACTCAAGGTAACATGCACAACAGTGAAAGCAGAGCAAAAAGGCAAGTGACTGGTATAATGGAAATGCAGGTTAATTAAAGCAAGATGGGAATGGCTGTGATTAGATTCTATCACAGTTGTGTAGTGCTGGCTTAAAATGCAAACAAAGGCATTTTACTGGAAACATTTTAGTCCTGGGACCTTGGTTACTTTGGAATAATAAGATCAAAGAACAAAAGCATTTCCAATAAAATGTCGTGTTTGCATTTTGTATCCTTTCCTAACTACTTGTCAATATCACATACATTTTTACCAGTAATTGTTCTAATCCAAATTTGTAAAAAACCACTGGCATGGCATTATCATAAAGTCTTACAAGAGAAATTGAGAAACACGAGGGATCAGATCAAATAGAATAAAGAATACTGAAAATCTGAAGTGCTAATGTATGGTCCTACAAGATCAAAGTGTGTTATGGCAAATGAACCAATAATTAAAGATGTAATGGAAGTAGCCTGCATTTGATAACTATTATCTGACAAGCATTAATACTATGTACCATACAGCCATTTGCATTCTCACAATATATAAATTACCTCCTTATTTTCCTGTGCTTCAATGAATTCCTGGAAGGATGCTTGCTGCTGTGTTTGTTGCTGTGTCTGCTGCTGCATCTGCTGTTGTTGCTGTACCCCATATTGATCTTGCTGATACTGTTGTCCATATTGCTGCTGCTGCTGCTGTGGCTGATAACCCTGCTGAGGCTGTGGTTGATAACCTTGTTGTGCCTGAGGCTGAAATCCTTGTTGCTGATAAGCCATCTGTGACTGAGGCTGATATCCATGTTGCTGATACTGGTCTTGGCTTGGCTGCTGGTACTGCTGAGATGCAGCAACTGCAGCTTGTTGTTGATACCCATACATCCTGTGAAATTAAGTACAAGTCCAGAACTAATAAAACATGAAAATGTGCAGCATAATACACCTCTAAATATAATCAGTATCATGAGCAAGTATTCCTACATTTTATCAATACAAAACAAGATATATATACTGAGTTGCTTCATAATTTCCTCTAGTTCTTGAAGATATGCATGCTAATTTAAATGTGCTTCCAATAACATGAATCTTAATTTTCATCTGTTAATGGTTCAGTGGAAGAGGAAAAGGGTCACAACTTATGGTTAAAACAGAGCTATTCTTTAATTTACATTTTTTTTTTAAATTTTGAGGGGTCTGCTAGACTTTTGTGTTGGATTATACAGATTCTTTAATTTAGCAGAATGATCATGTTCTCAAATGGTCCTTGTTGAGGTACACTGCTGTACAATACTAGAAAATCTGATGGAAATGCCTAATACAAATTTCCTGGACTGCTTAGTAAAACCAAGCCAGGACAGAAAGCTTGTTGCTTCTCAAGCTTCCCAACCAAGGGTATTTCATTCAACATTTCTTGATCAGAAGTGATTATTAAGTACAGCAAAATCACCTGAAACTACTAACATGTTCAAACACTATATTAAATTTGTGTACAGCCTTATATTATAAAGCAAAATAATAAAGTTACAAATAGTAATTTAGGATAGGGCTAAAAAATTATAATATATATATATTATATATATATATATATATATATATATATATATTATATATATATATATATTATAATATATATATATATATATTATAAAACCAATCCTTCCAATAAAAACTTCATTCCTTTATTTAAAAAATAAATTTTATACTAAACTTCAAAATTGTGTCAGATGAAACTATATACAATAATTATATTGACCAGTACATATAATTTCCCTATTAACCTACTTATTTTGCTTAATTATATGAAAAATTTGGTGGCATTATTTAGTACAGAAAAGCCTCACTTATACAGCAGACTAGTTGTTAGGTTACTGCTGTAAAGTGAAAAGTGAATCATAGCCTTTTTTTTTCACTTTCATAGTGAGTGGTGAATACAGTTGAACCCCAGTTTTCGAACTTAATCCATTCTAGAAGTTCGTTTTAAAACTGAAGTGTACAATATTTCCCATGAGAAATAACGTAAATTTATTTTTTTTTTTTATTATCACACTGGCCTTCCCCACCAAGGCAGGTGGCCCAAAAAAAAAAAAACTCTCACCCCATCCATCACTGTCCCCAGAAGATGTTTTAAAATACATTTTTTAAATAAAATTTAACCCCTTTTTCTAGTGCAGGCACTGTACTTCCCATCCCATATTTCAAGCCCGGCCTGCCGTTTTCCCCCTAAACCCTTCATAAATTTTTCCCTTTTGCTCACACTCCAACAGATGTCAAGTTTTAAAAAACCCTTTTGTCTCCTTTCCCTCCATCAACACGCAAAACTGCCTGCGGAAGTCCAACCCCTCGCCCAAAAAACCCCTTTTACCCCCCCCCCCCAACCCTTTTCCCTACCGACCCCCCCCCCCCCTTTTCCTTCCACACGTGATACACTCTTGAAGTCACTCTGTTTCGCTCCACTCTCTCACATGCCGAACCACCCAACCCTTCCCGGGCCCTCTGGACAACGTTTTGGAAACCCCCGCACCTCCTTCCAAACTTCCAAACTACGAATTTCCCGATTATACACACCCACTTGCCCCCAGACATGACATCTCCATGCCTCCCCTTCTCCTCGCTGAACTTTCCCAAACCATGCTTCCACCCACATAAGACTTTGGTAAAAACTTACTCTCATACATTCCCTTTTCCTCCAAGGCAAAAAGGGGGTGTCCCCCCGGAAAAAAAGGGGATCAGGCCCATTTCGTGGGCAACACCCCTTTGGCGCCTATCGCCAAAGGGTGCACAAGAAGGGGGAAATCAAGGCTGCTGCAATGTTGAAACCAAATCAGCTCAGTTTTTTTGGGGTTCAACAGGGCGTGAACAGTGCCCAACGCCATAAATTTTCAACATGTCCGATGAAAAAGCCTTGATCAAATTGGACTTTGCTAATGCTTTCAACTCTGTGAGAAGGGATGCTACTCTTCAAGCAGTTTATAGAAACTTCCCTTCCCTCTATCCCTTCATGGAATCATGTTATAGTTTGACTTCCAAACTATTGTTTGGGGTCCATGAAACTGACTCGTGTGAGGGTGTGCAACAGGGGAACCCTCTTGCCCCCCTTTCTATTGTGCTTGGTCATCAAGGAAGTCACAGAAGCACTCCAGTGAGCTCAATATCTGGTTCTTGGATGATGGTACCCTAGCTGGTACAACAGAATCTCTCCTAGAGGACATCAGAAAAATTAAAGACATGGGGGAAAGCCTGGGCCTATCTTTAACCCTTTGACTGTTTCCGACGTATAAATACGTCTTACGAGCCAATGTTTCCGACATATTTATACGCACAAATTCTAGTGGCTTCAAATCGAGCGCCAAAGGCCTGGTAGGCCTACACGGGAGAGAATGGGTCTCAGTGGTCGGTGTGCACCCTGTGAAAAAAATCTGGGACCCAGCGGTGCATTGTGGGAACGCCATGTTGTCAGTCCATTTTCACCATGCCTCTCGGTAAGAAGTTCCTCACTCCTCGGCGGATTGGAGGTCTTTTGTTTCCAAGTGATAGCTCTAACAGCGATGAAAATGTCAGTGACAGTGAATTCAAGGGTTTTCAAGCGAGTGTTACCGAAAAAAGTGCCCAGGATAACGTAAATAGTGACGAAAACCCAGATGACCCACAACCTTCGACCTCTGGTGCTGTGCCGGCTTGTTCACGTTCACGTTCGCCTGTACCAGGACGAAAGAGGAAACTATTTGGTCGTGTACAACACCCTGATGATAGCAGTGATAGTGATAGTGATTTCAAGGTCATTGAAAGCAGTTCTAGTGACAGTGAGAGTGAATATTCCCCAGTGAAGCGCCAGTATGTACGACGTAGTATGCGGTCTGGTAGTGTTTCATATGTTGCTCCAAGGGGAAGGAGAAACTCTGGGAGCACATCCCGTGGCCCTACACCACGACCTGATAGTAAAGATGACGATATTGTAACGATGGGTATGAATGGTGACAGTGAGGGAGGAGGCAGTGGTGGTGATAGTGAGGGTGGCACGGCCCATGTGGCACCATCACCGGGCCATGCTACTACCCACGCGGCTGACTCAGCAGAACAACCAGCCTCACCCTACCCCACACTGCCACAACCTGCACCACCACAACCTGCACAGCCACAACCACGGTACAATATCCAGACCCCACCAGCAGACCGCATCTGGGATTGGCAGGACGGTGACGAGTTTGTTCCCAGTCCCCATGACTTTGATGAAACACAAAGTGGAATAAAGCCATCTTGTCCACTTGGGAACAATGCCAGTGAACTGGACTGCTTTGAGTTATTTTTCGATGAACCCCTGATGGACATCATTGTCAGGGAAACAAATACATACTGTGATTACACCATGGCAAATACAATTCTCTCACCAAAATCACGGCTACACAAGTGGAAGGAGACAACTGTGGCAGAGATGTACCTGTTTTTTGCCACAATAATGCTTATGCCACATGTGTATAAGCACACTGTCACCACATACTGGACAACAGATCGCCTGATTTCAACTCCAGGTTTTAGTGACATTATAGGTGTCAATCGTTTCCTGATACTGTTACGTATGTTACACTTTTCAGACAAAACCAGGCCTGACAGAAGCGACAGTTATATAAGATAAGAAATGTGTTTATGTACCTGAAACAAAAGTGCTGCATGTATTTTTATCCCTTCAGGAAGCTTGTATTGATGAGTCCTTGATTTTATTCAAAGGAAGACTCTCATTCAAGCAATATATACCAAGCAAGAGGAAACGCTTTGGTATAAAGCTATTTGTACTGTGTGATTGCAGAAGTGGTCTTGTTTTAGATATTATTGTGTACACTGGCAGTAATACTTTGAGAGATACCATGAAGTTATTGGGTATCTCTGGTGATGTGGTTCGAACATGATGGAACCATATCTTGGTAAGGGGCATATGTTATTTACTGATAACTGGTACACAAGCCCCTTACTCAGTGATTTCTTGCGATGTGAACTTGACAAACGTGTGTGGCACAGTGCGTGGTAATCGCAAACATATGCAAGGTTCGACGCTGGCACTCGCAGAGGTGAGGTGCAAGCCTTTGCTGCCAATGACATCATGGCATTTCGGTGGCATGACAAACGTGATGGTCACATTGTTGACATCAGTTCACACAAACGAAATGGTACCCAGTGGCAGGGACAACGAGACCAATGAACCCATTCTAAAGCCTGCAGCTGTCATGGACTACAACCTACAATATGCGCTTAGTGGACAAATGTGACATGCAGATTGGGTTTGCAGACTGTGTACGCAAGAGTTATAAGTGGTATATCAAACTTTTTTTCCATCTTGTTGATATCTCTATGCTAAATGCTTATAACATATACAAGTTGAAGACCAACAAAACACCAAAATATGGTGAATTTTGCCTGTCAGTAATCAGACAAATAATTGCAAAGTACCAAGGAGCAACTCCTGCACTAGACCAGCGCCCACAGACGTCATCTCGTATGAGGCCTGGTGATCACTACCCCATACAACTGCCTCCTACTACTGCCAAGAAAAATGCTCAGGTGTTATGTATGTATGCATACCACAAAACACCCACAAACACGCAGAGACACTCGTTTTATGTGTGAGGAGTGTGAAGTGCCCCTCTGCATATACCCATGTTTCAAAGAGTTCCACAAGCTGCAGCAGTTCTAGGAACGTGGTTAGTGACTGTACATATGTATGTATATTATGGAACAATAGTAATAAACATTGTTTTGTATTGTTTGTTTGTGTAAACAAAGTGTATACACAAACTAATAGTGATAAAGTTTGTTCTGTTATTGTGTTGTAAATAATGAGTGTATATTTGAACAATGCACCTTACATTGGTCTCACAGGCCACATAAGTTACCTGGAAAAGAAAAATGTTGAAAAATG